ATCTTATGTTATCTTGTGTTATCTTATGTTATCTTATGTTATCTTATGTTATCTTATGTTATCTTATATCGCAGCCCCAGGTCATGGGCAAGCTGCTCGTCAGGAAAGATGATATTTATTTATCATATGTATTAAAAAAGTAATATATAAGTAAAGTAATATGTATTAGTAAAGTAATAAATATAATATATATATTATATTTATTACTGTATTTCCTATGTTATCTTATATCTTATGGTATCTAATACCTAATGTTATCTTATATCTTTCGTATCTCATATATTTTGTTATCTTTTATCTTAAGTTATATGTGCTTAGTAGTTCTTATATTCCATTGTTATCTGTTGTTATCTATAATTATTGGTTGTTATGCATTATTGTCTTGTTATTTCGTGTTTTATCTTATGATATCTATAGTTATTTGTTCTTATATTCGATTGTTATCTGTTGTTATCTATGATTATTCATTGTTTCATATTATTATCTATTATTATTTCGTGTTATCTGTGGTTCTATATATATATATTTCGTGTTATCTGTGCATCATACTTGCATCATACTTGCATCATACTTGCATCATACCAACAACCGCCTAATACTGATATTAGTTTCACTTATATTCTAAATTCGTCCAAATAATTTCAATTTAACAAAGCCCTAAAATTTAATCACTAAATTTAATCACTAAAGTCAATGCCCTAATTCAAAGCCCTAAATAGTTCATAATTAATTAATGTAAATATATGACTTAGTATAAAAGACTCCCCGTGACAGCAATGCCCGCAGTTCCCCGTGACAGCAATGCCCTCAGTTCCCCGTGACAGCAATGCCCTCAGTTCCCCGTGACAGCAATGCCCTCAGTTCCCGTGTCAGAAATGCTCCCAGTTCCCCGTGACAGGAATGCCCTCAGTTCCCCGTGATAGGAATGCCCTCAGTTCCCCGTGACAGGAATGCCCTCGTTTCCCCGTGACAGGAATAAGATGTCACCGTGCAGTAATAAAAAAAATGCAGTAAAAATGTACATTTTTAGATGCATACGAAATACAAGTGTCCTAAAGTGACTGTCATATGATATAAAGGAAGTTCAAGTATCAAAAATATCAGATCTCGGAATAAAAATTTAAATTTTATCTCCACTTTATACATTAAAATCTAAAATATTTTGATGCGTTAAAGCACCATAAAATTCTATCTAAATATTTGATCTTAAAATATTCAACTGTGGAATCTTCAGAATTAATGCACACGGCTCTGTATTTAAGAAATTCATCAAGTTATTACCCTATTTGTGGATATTTATATTTTTCTTTCATCCATTAACAAGCATTAACTTTTTCGACTTCATGTGCTAAGGTTTACCGTTGTCCATCTTCAATAGGTCATTTCGTATCACAAAAAGAACAATGTCTTGTAAAACGTTTTTTTCGCTTGTAGAATGTTTTTTCAGACCTAGAAAACGCGTAAAAAATTATGTTTGTTTTTCAAGTTCTGGTGATTAAAAATCCATGTACAGGGAATATTTATCTTTAAATGGCCAGACTCAAAGTGATCAATCCAAAGAAGTATTCATCATCGGTACCAGAAATTTTATCCCTTTGTCCCTAATAAAAATAATGGAGGTCGCATAATAAATGTCAATTTACATCAAAATAAGATTTTTCTCAATTATCTTGGTATTCATTGGGTCATTGTGTGGAGTTCAAGATGTGATCGACGATCAAAGACGTTGCGGTATTTCTTCAACTGCAAATTATTTCTATTAAAATTTATTTAAATTTCTTCATTTTACTAAATTATCAGATTTATTAGAAGCGTGTACAGTCTTTATTAACCGTTCGGATTAAACCGAGTTTGATTGTGCCCTCTTCTAATGATTAACAAAATTGTTGGTCACGTGAGTGTGGTGAAAGGTTGTAATTAAACTCCTAAGTTTCTTCTCCATTTCACCTTTGGCCTGTTTTCCAATGCATTATTAATAACGATCATCCGAATTCATTTTCTTAAAGAAAAAAATTACACACAAAATATGCAACACAGGAGATGTGTGAAGGATGGATCAGGTATCCCTACGTCATATCGTTGATCTCAAATTTTCAGCTCAAATTTTCATGAATTTTGAATTCAAAAGCACATAAAATGCCAAACAAATTCCCACGGTCTGTAAGTGAATTTGTTTTGCGTTTGCTTTGCTTCTAAATTTTTGTCGAACTTGCGATTTAAGCAGACTAAAGTTATAACTAAACATGCGTCCTGACATAATTTTCAGAAACTCGAAATTTTGTCGATGCGAGACGAATTTCGTACACTAATAACAAATTTGTGTTACGATTCTAATGCAATATTTCTACACACGAAGCGATAACCTTGTGTAAATAAATGTACGTGGTAGAGCTTTCTGTAAGTATAACCCTTAAGAAAGTAAATCTGTAATTTTCTGTAGTAAAGTGTACTTCCCGTTGTAACTTTCTAGGCAAGAGTGCTCCAGTAATGCTCTGTAGGAGGAAGTAACTTCTGTAAGTAGCTCTGCAGGAGGAAGTAACTTCTGTAAGTAGCTCTGCAGGAGGAAGTGCCTTCTGTAAGTAGCTCTGTAGGAGGAAGTGCCTTCTGTAAGTAGCTCTGTAGGAGGAAGTAACTTCTGTAAGTAGCTCTGTAGGAGGAAGTAACTTCTGTAAATAGCTCTGCACGAGGAAGAGGCTCTGTAAAAAGAAGAGTAACTCTGTAATTAACTCTGTAGGGAGTTACTAAGTTTACTCGTGATATCTGAAACAATTTATAGTTTCCATATGAAGCAGACAGCAAATTTGTACAGCAACGTGCAGCAGTTGCCGCGACTGGTGATGGCCTTTGCACTTTTGCCTCAATGATTTTTCCCCGTGCGCCTTGATTTTTCTCGCCCTCTGAGAAATACGTACGACTTTGTCCAAATGGCGATGCACTTCTTGGTCTTGTGTGGGTCATCCTGACCCATTTTGGCCAAGTAAAAGGGCGTATCAACGCTACGTTTGCTCTCTGTTCCTGCTGTGGGTAAGAAAGTGCCTCACTATTGGGACAAAATTAATCATACATTTTTGTGAGAGTATGTGCTTGTGTTAAAGTTCGGAGTACCTGGATTGGAGCAGCAGGTTGCGGGTTCGAACCCAACTACCTGCGATAGTTTCTGGTCAGAATTGACAGGGAGGATACCGGACGGTCAAACACAGCGAAATTGGAGCAGTAAGTTACGTGTTCGAGACCGCAACAAGCTGTGTATATTGTACGATGTTAAGAATCAACAACAGGCCTACTGCCTAATAAACGCCGAAATAGCTTTATAATTATTATTAAATGAATAGGAATTGTAAAATAGCTACTCATAGATTATTGAGCTGACCGCGACTTTTAGTATTAACGCCGTAATCTTGTCGGGAACTAGGATCGGCAATCAGGTTCGGTAATCATCAATCACGATAGGCAATCTTGTCAGCAATCCTGTATTGTTTGTTGAACGTTCTCTTATTTTGCGACTCGTTAATGAGATGACTGTAGAAATTGCATCATACAAAACAGCCTGATTAGATTAATGTATGAATTGTGTCATACAAAACAGCCTAATCACTTGCAGTTCGTCATCACCACCGTAACTTTGTATATACAAAGTTATTTATTAACAATAAGGAAACCCTTAACTAGATTTATACCAGCCATCGCATCCGAGTTAATATGTCAGTTTTTGATACCGGGACTGAATTTGAAATTAAATCTCGCCGAACATGAATAAATGAGGATAATGTCGTACCATGATTTAAAAATCGGGGAGCACGGATTGAACTGATAATCCTACAGGGGATCAAGGATTTGTGGAAATTTGTGGATTTTGTGTATGTAGGATCTGTAGGAATCAGTGGATCTATAGGATCTATGGAATCTGGATTCTATGGATATCATATTTGTGGATTTTGTGTATGTAGGATCTATAGGAATCAGTGGATCTATATAGGGTCTATGGAATCTGGATTCTATGGATATCATATTTGTGGATTTTTGATGTTAGCGGCGCAGAGAAGGCGACATGACATGAAGTAATCATGTAGAGTAATAGCTATCTCAAATCAAATATGTATTGCTAATAAAGATGGCTCAGGAAAGACCAAATATTTTATGGTACCTTTTACAATCTATCAATAGTTGAATTGGTTTATACAGTCTTTGAATAATTAAATCTGTGTTAAGTAAATTACTGAGGTCCTAGCGAGTTACTAAGACCTGGCTAGGATAAACCTAGAGTTAAATATTCTAGTTATAATATTTATGCAATAGTGAAATTAAGGATATTTCCACGGCAATGTTAAGTTCCTACAATTTATGGTATTTTTGATGACGTGAGTTATTTATATTAACCTAGACATCGCTAGACATTATGTAGGAGACGTGACTAGTTGAGGTCTGCACTAGTGTAGTATAGATGATGGCATATGCTAAGAATACATCGAAGTTTGTGTAAATAGTTTATTCATCTTAGTTGCTGGTCTCGTTCTTAAGTAATTTTGAATTTTTGAGTTTATATTTCGTATTGTAAAATTGAATCTGTTAAACTCGACAGCTCATTTCTGATAAATTCCATCGCTTTGGACACATACTAGTGTTGTTCGAGAAAAATTTCGCTCTTTATGTATGAATTTTGATCATTAGCAGCTAATGTTTATGTATGTTCAGCTCATAAAATACTTCATCTTTAATTCCCCCTTAACTTTGACCGTAAACATTTTTCATAGACTGTAGTCTGTACAGTACCTGTAGTGTACAGTACATGCAGCATACAGTACATGTGGTTAACATTACATGACTGTTAAAGCGAAACCGTAATCCGTATTTTTGAACGCTATAGGGAAATCTTTCTTACAAGTCTATTCATTTTTCCCATTTTTAGGCGATTTAGGTATATCCAGCTTAGTGAAAATTCCTGTTATTATCGTTAGATCCTTCACGATCGCAAGTAAAATCTATAGCGATGAGATCCTTCGCTATCATGAGATCCTTCGCTACCATGAGATCCTTCGCTACCATGAGATCCTTCGCGATCTTAATATCCTTAACGATCGGAATATACTTGACGATTGTTAAATCCATAAAATCATGAAAAATTTCACGATCCGAATTTCACGAAAATCTAAAACGATAATAAGATTCTTAACCTAGTCGCTAAGTGTGAAATAGCGTGCATAATCAATAATAAATAAATTGATAACTTATCTGTGTTCAAATTACCCTTTAATGACGATGATTGATGTAAATTCAGTCAAATAATAACTATTATGGGAAAGTGAATGAAGAACATTATAAATTCAGCTGTATTAAAACAGATGAAATAATATTCAACACAAAACAATTCAGTTCACACAAGAACACACATCGGAATTTACTAGCGTCCACACTAGCGCTTCCCAAAATAATACAGATTCAGAATGAATATTTTTTCTACACAAATACAACGATGCAGATTTCAGACTTTACCTTTAAGTGATAACGATGAAAATAAGTCAAACAGTAGAGAAACAAGTGTTGAATATAAAATATTGGTTTAAATTTTAAAATATAATGAAACGAAGCAAGAAATAACGTACATCCACAAGAATTTATAGCAGTTCACGTATATTATAGAGCGCAATCACGACGTTTGTGCCTTTGATTATTTTATACATTGTTTTATATTTGTATATTTGTGGGGCTCTATAATAAATATAATATTATCAAATAATATTATATTTATTATTATATATCAAATATATATATTATATTTGATATTATAATAATATCAAATATAATATTTGATAGAAAAAATGCAACATCAAATTATCAATTCTAATAAAAAGCGAAAAACTTGAGTTTTCTCGGAATCCCAAAACATTTCATATAAAATTTTATGGAAAAATTAACGATGAAAATGATAATAGAATTTTGAAAATCCGCCAAATGAAATAGACACAGGAATGCATGAATATATATTGAATGAATTTATTATACCTGCAATTTTCTGCATTTCCGGTGCTTCGGCACATTTTATTGCAAACAATTCGCAAATACATTTTCATATCAATTCTAAATTAAATAACTGTCATTTAATTGATCATTAATATTGCAGTAATTGAGAATTACGTGGAGCAAGAAAAGGAAATAAAACCCAGGTGTTTGAATATTCTCATGAAAATAATCATTGGTTGAAACTGTGCAATGACCACCAACAATAAAAATGTTTTAAACATCAAATGGGCGCAAGCCACTTACAATAAAACGAATAAAGAACAAATATTATTCAATTAATATTTGTTATTAATTATTAATAATTATAATAAATTAATACTAATAAACCTTTAGCAATAAAATCATTAATGCCCTGCAGCACGAGAACGTTCCTTAGGCCGTAGGCCTCCATAGCAAATTTTGAACATCGTAAAGCAAAGTTTGAACATTCACTATATAGCAAATTTTGAACATTCACAGCTTGTTGCGGTCTCAAACACGCAACTCACTGCTACAATTTTACTTTGCTTAACCGTCCAGTCTCCTTGCAAATTCTGACCAGAAACTATCGCAGGTAACTGGGATCGAACACGCAACTCACTGCTCCAATCTTGGTACTCAGGGGCCATACTTTCAAAAAAGTTAAGAGACCGTAAGTTCATCAGCCAATCATTGACGTCCTTTCAAGCAAAATCCACCAATCATAGACAAGAAAATAGAGCGGAAGTACTTACGTTCACTTAGCGAGTTTTGAAAGTATGGCCCCTGAACTGTAACCCATGAGCATTCGGTCATATGAAACGCGTTATCTTACATAATGCAGTTAATAAATTATATTACCAGAATTTTGTAGGAAACAATTGAATTTTATACGATGGAATTCTACTGTCCACCGAGATTCCAATAGACGGCATGACTTTAAGTGGCGGGGTTACATTACAATTACATTTACATTACATCTTCGAAATTCTGGGCTAGCATGTGTTTCTCGAGAATTTATTTTAAAATTATGTAGTTCAGATAAGAAAAAAAAATAGTAATGGCTTCCACATGGAAGAAATGAAGAAATCAAATTAATTCGACCAATAATGCAATTATAAAAAGAATCTAAGTCAACTTGTCAGTAAATGAAAGCAAATGCCATATTTGCTCGACACGCACTACCACGGACGGATTATCCAAGAGAATCAACTATATTTCATATCAGTAGATTTAAAAAGAAGAGTATCCGTAGATTTTCCTAGCATTCCTTATCTTCAGGATACAAACAGTTTTTCCTACATGCACTCAGGAAAATATGCGGGTCATACAGTCCAAATAGTAACACTTTCAGCCCGTAGCACTGATATAACCGGAAAAAGATGACTCACACTAAGATGAAAAGTGCATCGCCAAATGGACAAAGTCTATTACATTATTTATATACAAATCTATTTATTACATGTCTATATATTCAACCTTACTCCTTGACAAGGGCAGCGAACTTTTCACTAATGAAAAAAAATTTTTTATTGCAGGAGAACAGTTTTTTCCAATCGTATCGCAAAAAAATCGTAACGTATCGTATTTTTCCTTCATAGATAACCAGAACACACGATAAACAGACGTATTAAGCAGACATATACCCGATGAACTAAATAACTTGTAAGCAAGCACTAGTTACAGCTAGTGGCTAACAGCGAGCTAGTCACGGTAAGTAGCTAACACCCAGTGGTATACGAGAATATATATTATATATATTTTAGAATATACCGCATAATATGAACAGAAATGAGAAGAAGGAATGAAGGTATGAATGAAATTACACCAGCCAGCGTGATAACGACCACGAGAGAACAGGTTCTCAGTAGGAACCGAAAACAGGTTCTCAGCAGGAACCGAAAACAGGTTCTCAGCAGGAACCATAAACAGGTTCTCAGCAGGAACTGAAAACAGGTTCTCAGCAGGAAATGAAAACAGGTCCTCAGTATGAACCAAAAACAGGTTCTCAGTAGGAACCAAAAACAGGTTCTCAGCAGCAACCGAAAACAGGTTCTCAGCAGGAACCGAAAACAGGTTCTCAGCGGAAACCAAAAACAGGTTCTCAGCAGGAACCGAAAACAGGTTCTCAGCAGGAAATGAAAACAGGTCCTCAGTATGAACCGAAAACAGGTTCTCAGCAGGAACCAAAAACAGGTTCTCAGCAGGAACCAAAAACAGGTTCTCAGAAGGAACCAAAAACAGGTTCTCAGCAGGAACAAAAAACAGGTTCTCAGCAGGAACCAAAAACAGGTTCTCAGCAGGAACCGAATACAGGTTCTCAGCAGGGACCGAATACAGGTTCTCAGCAAGAACCGAAAACAGGTTCTCAGAGGAACTGAAAACAGGTTCTCAGCAGGAACCAAAAACAGGTTCTCAGCAGGAACCAAAAACAGGTTCTCAGCAGGAACCGAAAACAGTTTCTCAGCAGGAACAAAAAAACAGGTTCTCAGCAGGAACCGAAAGACAGGTTCTCAGCAGGAACCGAAAACAGTGGAGATGACATGCAACTTAACTAATTACTTCATCGGAGTGTCAATAATTAACCAATTGTTCAACCGCTTTAATGATTGAAATTTCCGACTGCCTTATCCAGGACAATTTTTAATACAAAAACGATAATTTACAGACTTGCATGTTAAAAATTATTTGAATTTTCAAAGCGTCAAGCGAATAAATTTACAATTTACTTCAAAAAGAATAATAATTTTTCTTTAGAACAACTATAATACAACAACGTCGAAATAATGAATTTTTCAACAAAACTTACTTCACATCAAAGAAAAACTTAAATATTGTGTCCAATAAATGGTGCTATTTTATTGCATTATTAATTAATACATCGCAAACTGTAAAAATTCTAATATAAAGACACAAAAAATGCTACCAAAAAACAAACACTGAAATATACATAACTGCCATTTATGATACATGGGGAATTATCCTCTCAGGCAGGGGAATTTCCATAATACTTGGGGAATTATCCCCCAATAGTTGGGGAATTATCCCCAACTATTGGGGATAATTCCCCAATAGTTGGGGAATTATCCCCAGTAGTTGGGGAATTATCCCCAATAGTTGGGGAATTATCCCCAATAGTTGGGGAATTATCCACTCAGGCAGGGGAATTTCCATACTTGGGGAATTTTTCCTCACTAGTAGGAGAATTATCCCCTGCTACGCCACACGCTGTACGAGTTATCAAACTTAAGAAGGTACACGCCCGTGCCGGGGTACGTGTGGCTACCCGCGTACACCTCCTGGTGGCTGTCCCGCCGGTACACGGGGATGATCACCGACTGCGGGGGCCCCGTGACCCGTGACTGTCCCCCACGCCGTCCCCCGCCGGTCTTGCCACCCCCGCGCTCAACGTCGGCATCACCTGTAGGGATTGAGGGGGGTTAGGGTAGGGGTTGAGTTTGGACCGGAAGACATGGAAATAAGTATCAAAGAATTGGCGACGTTTTCAGCACCAGGACCCGACGGAATTCCGGCAGTGCTGTTGAAGAAGTGTGTTGGAGCACTGCAGGCTCCGCTCACAATGCTCTGGAAAGCCTCGAGGGAACCAGAGGGAATTACAGAGGGAATTATCCATGAGGGTCTCAAAGTGGGACTGATAACGCCAATCCACAAAGTAGGTACGAAGGACAGACCCCAAAATTACAGACCTGTGACCTTGACCTCACATGTGATCAAGGTTTTTGAGAAGGTAGTGGTCAGGAGGCTTGTCCGGTATATGGAAGAGGCTGACCTGTTTAATAACGGACAACATGGTTTACGGCGTAATCGTTCTTGTTTGTCGCAGTTACAGAGTGAGACCTCCAAAATAATGACATATTACAACGAAAGAAGAGGGAGACTGTGCAGGATTCCCCCATTTACTAACCAAGCCGCGGCCAGAGTACAGACTCTTCGTGAGGGATCACTGTCCGTGGTAGGACCGAGGCTCTTAAATTAATGTCTTGCCAAAAGAGCTGAGAGGAGGGGAGTTTACCCTTGCAACATTCAAGAGACAACTGGACAAGTGGTTGAGCAAGATCCCGGATTGTCCAGTAATGGGAAACTACCATCAGCAAGTGACAAGCAACAGCATCTTGCATCAGCGTGCCCAAAGGAGGGCAAATAGACGGAACACGTCCAACGTTACATCCGACGACGACTCGGAGACGGAGGACGACGAAGGCGGCGCATCAGCGTGACCGGGGACTAGGAAGTCCCGAACTCATCATATGGTCAGGAGGTCTTCAAAGAGGCAAAATAAGTTGCATTCTCTCTATGTGGACTTCACCTGCACCGATCAAGGCTTACTGGCTTACTTAGTGCAAATATAAATTGTAAAATAATGTATAAATTCTATCAATTACATCATACAAGCCAAAATATATTGGAAATTGATTAGAAATAATTTAGTACTGCCCCTTCGACACAAATAAGGCTTAATAGGAAACGTTCTTATTCTTCTCTGTAGCCCTTAGTCGAGGGTAAATAAAGAAGTATTAAGGGAAGAAAAGCTACATTTTTTATATATTACATTTTATATACCTATAACCTACAACTGAAACCATGAATCCAAACCAATCTGCAGAGTGGCGAGTTAAGTGCAGCATATCCTACGTGGCGAGTTAAGTGCAGCATATCCTACGTGGCGACTTAAGTATCATCCCCGTATTTTTTAGATATTATATTTTATATATAACCTACAACTAATACGGTACCATAAATCCAAACCAATCAGCAGACTGGCGAGTTAAGTGCAGCATAACCTACGTGGCGACTTAAGTGCAGGGTAACCTTAAGTTAAGGGGACTTAAGTGCAGCATATTCTACGTGGCGACTTAAGTGTCATACCTGTGCAGTTCTCGCCATCTTCGTCGTCGTCGTCGTCGTCCTCGTCGCTCTCGGTGACGTGGACGGTGACGGCCGCGTCGTCCTCGGCCGCCGTCCACTCGAAGTACAAACCGAAGCCGATGTCGTACGCGTCCGTCGCGAACTCCCAGAACAAACACGACCCGTCCTGATGTGTTGGTACGCGTACCTGTACAGGGGAGTACTGTACTGTACTGCTGTACTGTACTGCTGTACTGTACTACTGTACTACAGTCCTGATGTCGTACGCGTCCGTCGCGAACTCCCAGAACAAACACGACCCGTCCTGATGTGTTGGTACGCGTACCTGTACAGGGGAGTATTGGTACCGTACTACTGTACTACCGTGACAGTCTCCCCGTGACCCACGCGCAGCACGTACCGTGACAGTCTCCCCGTGCCCCACGCGCAGCACGTACCGTGACAGTCTCCACGTGCCCCACGTACCGTGACAGTCTCCCCGTGCCCCACGCGCAGTACGGTGTTGGGGCCCTCCGCCTGCACGGCGCGCTTGAACTCAGCGACGTCGCGACGCGTCCACATCGCGGCCGCTGCGATCACGTCACCAGCCTCTGTTTTAATAATAATTTTAATATAATAATTTTAATATAATAATTTTAATACAACAATTTTATTCAATTAAAGGAAAGATATATCATGGAAAACACAATAAATAATAATAAGAATCAATATAAAGCCAATATCGAATTATCGATACAAAAATAATACCTAATTTTAATATAATAATTTTAATAGAATAATTTTATTCAATTAAAGGAAAGATATAACATGGAAAACACAATAAATAATAATAAGGATCAATATGAAGCCAATATCGATACAAAAATTGAGGAATCTAAGCGTTTCATCGAAGAAGAGACTACACATACATGCCTCCTCTGTGTGGTACACAGATTAATACATACATACAGCCAGACACATGTCTCCTCTGTGTGGTACACAGATTAATACAGACATACAGCCTGACACATGCCTACTCTGTGTGGTGCACAGATTAGAGCTTACATACAGCCATCCACATGCCTCCTGTGTGTGGTATACAGATTAATACATACATACACATACCGCCTCTGTGTGATACACAGATAATACATGCACACAGCCAGACACATGCCTCCTCTGTATGGTACACAGATTAATACATACATACAGCCGGACACGTGCCACCTCTGTGTGGTACACAGATTAATACATGCACACAGCCAGACACATGTCGGCCTCTGTGTGGTACTATACAGATTAATACACACACAGCTACATTCCTCCTACACTAAAATTAATCATGAAATATTGAACCTCGGAAGGAATTGCACCGAAATTGGAATTCGAAAATAACAGAATTTGTTCCTATGGGCTATAATAAATCCGGCATAATAAATTTTTTACATTAAATGCAAACTTGAATATCACGTCAGAGGATCAGAGGATAACATCAGAGGATCAGAGTATAACGAAGTTACAAAATATAAATAAGCCCAAGAGAATTAAAAGAATATTCAGATTACTGCATCGTCTCGTTCGTACCTGCATCGTCTCGTTCGTACCTGCATCGTCTCGTTCGTACCTGCATC